CCTCTCCTCCACTCCTCTCCTCCTCCCCCCAACTCTCCCTCTCTCCCCTCTCCTCCCTCCCTCTCCTCCCCTCCCTTCTGCCCTCCTTCCTTTCTCCCCTCCTCCCCCCACCTCTCCCTCCTCCTTTCTCTCTCCCCCTCCCCTCTCCCTCCCTCTTCTCTCTCTCTCTCTTCTCTCTCCTGTCTCTCTCCCGGGCCCAGAAAAGGTTACACTCAATCTATGGTTGGTGGGGGCAAAGAGGCTGAACACACATTTCAACTCTGGTCATGAGGCTCTGGGAGCGCCAGGTGTGGTGGTATATACTCATAACCCCAGCGTCAGAAGGACGGCAAGTTCAAGGCAAGCCCAGGCTACATAGCCAGCCAGACCCTGTCTCAACATAAAGCAAGGCCAGGAATGTAGTTCAGAGGTACAGTATTTGCCTGGTATGCACCTGGCCCTGGGTTGCATACCCAGCACCAAAGAACAACTGCCTGCTGCTTATCTCCATTAGGAGCTATGGTGGGCAGACCTGGAGGTTTTACCGTGTACTAGAACCTTCTGCAGCTAGGAATATCCAAGGAAATAACCAAAGCTCACTCGGGCAAGGAGCCCCGTGGAGCCCTGGCCCTTTCTTCTTTAAATTGATCTGGGAGGAGCAGATGCCTGAAGTGTTGGGAGGAGGGGGTCGTGGACCACCTGGACGCTGCCAAAATAGAATCTGCCTCCGGCTTCCGCCAAGGGTGGGTGCCAGCTTGTCTGCATTTTTGATTGATGGGGAAATGTTTTCTTGACTGGCAAATATTTGTGTTGGCAAGGCTTCACTTCCTGGTTTTCGCAGCCTATAAAAAGAGCAAAAAGGAAGAGCTGTGGGGAGACAGCTGAAATCCAGACGCTACAGTGGGAGCAGAAGAGGAGAGCAGTCCAGCCTCAGTGTCCTGATCTGTAAAACAGGCCATGCTGCCACTTGCCCCACAAGGCTTCTGGGAGAACAAGTGTATTCCCTCCACTGCACAAGGCGCGGATGCCCCTACCAGGTAGGGGGCTCAAAGTGTTCAGACAGCAACCACAACCCAACGTCCGCTAACAGATGCACTGAGAGGCGGAAGGTGTCATGGAGAGCACCCGTGGCTCACGCCTGTCATCCCAGCTACTCAGGAGGCTGAGATCTGAGGATCACAATTCCAAGCCAGCCCGGGGAAGGAAAGTCTGTGAGACTCTTATCTCCAATTAGCCTGAGCTGTGGCTCAGCTAGTAGAGTACCAGCCTTGCTTGGGCAAAAAAGCTCAAGCTGAGTTCGAGCCCCAGTATCAGCATAGACATGCACCTACAAAGTCCACACATTGTATGACTCTCTTTGGATGCATGTTCAGAATAGGCAAGTCTGTACAACAAGGATTTTGTGGTTGCCTGGAGACGGGAGAAGAGGGAGGGTGGGCTCGGGAGAGATGACGGTCAATAATTTTTTGGAGTGATGGAAACATTCAGGTGTTCGAAGGCAGTGACTGCTGCTACCGTAAACCTCCTGGCAGCTTCTGAGGGTGACTCTTACGCGAGGCGAATTATTCCTCTTCAAAGTCTGGAGGTTTATTATTTTGGGGGTTAGTGCCTGGATTTGAACTCAGGCTCTCAAGCTTGCTGGGCAGGTGCTCTGCCGCTTGAGGCCATTTCTTTTTAGCCCTCTAAGCTCAGGCACACACAGTCTGACAGGAGAGGTGGGTGGCTGGAGAGCTACAGGGAGTAACCGAGCAGTCAGAGGGCACCGGGGCTTCCAGACACAGGCAAGGAGAGAACCAGAGGAATGGAGCTGGGGGGAGCTGAGGTGCTGGGTGGTCTGTGACCTGTGCAAGGGTCCCCGCTCTGGAACCGTCTTCTAGAAAGCAAGGCTGCCCGTTCACATCGCCTGTCAGGCTTTGTTCAGGTGCCACGGGGTACACGTGAGACATACAGAAACAGCTTTTGTTTCCTTTTGTGTTTTCAATCCATGTGCACATTTCCCTCATACCCGTGAGAGCGTGCAGTATTTGTCTTCCTATGCCCAACTTACAGCATCATGTTCATCTGCGTTGTTTCAGATGACAGAACTTCCTTCTTTGTACGGGCTGAGTAGTAGTCTGCTGTATTTGTGTCCTGTTGTTTAGAATCCATTTACCCTGGGCTGGGAATTTGGCTTAATGGTAGAGCACTTGCCTGGCATGCATGAAGCTCTCCTGGGTTCGATTCCTCAGTACCACATGAATAGAAAAAGCTGGAAGTGGTGCTGTGGCTCAAGTGCTAGCCTTGAGACAAAGGAGCCCAGGAACAGTGCCCAGGCCCTGAGTTCAAGCCCCAGGACTGGCAAAAAAAAAGGCATGGACAATTGGGTGGATCCCATGTGGGGATTTTTGTGAGCAGTGTGGCAATGCCCATAGGAGTGTGTGTGGGAATCTCTTCAACACACACACAAATTTCAATTTCTTCAGAAACTCCAAGAATCTGGAACTGCTGGATCTAAAAACATGTAGAGGTTTTTGTTTTTTAAATCATGCATAGATTCCCTACATAAGCACTCACTTGCTCTGTCCACTAGAGGGCAGAGCTGCAGCACCGGTCCAGACCTTGGTTGAGAGCCTCATTCTCCAATTTGTGGAACCTGGGTTTCTTTTAGGAAGCAAGAAGCCATTGTAGGAAGAGAGCTCAAATTTGACACCAGCTGAAAAATCAAATAAAGAAAGAAATAACAACAGTGGCAAACCGAGCATTCACACCTGTAATCCTAGATACTTAGATGACCGAGATCTGAGGATCACCGTTTGAAGCCACACCCTTCAAGAAAGTCTGTGAGACTCTTCTCTCCAATTAACCACCAGAAAACTGTAAGCCAGCCGGGCAGCGGTGGCTCACACCTGTCATCCTAGCTACTCAGGAGGCCGAGATCTGAGGATTTCAGTTCACAGCCAACCTGGGCAGGAAAGTCTGTGAGACTCTTATCTCCAATAAACCACTAGAAAAGTGGAAGTGGCGCTGTGGCTCCAGTGGTAGAGCGCTCGCCTTGAGCTGAAAGCTGAAGGACAGAGCCCAGGCCCAGAGTTCAAGCCCCACAACCAAAAAAAAAAAAAAG